GGATCCCACATACAAACCGGTTCCTGCTCACTGGCTGAGCAAGGGGCGGGCGCAGCACTGAGGGTTGTGATCCCGTTGCCGGTCCCGGTCCGGTACGGGCGCGACACTGAGGGTTGCGATCCGTTGCCGGACACGAAAAAAGACAAAAAGGAAAAAAAAAAATAAATAAATAAATAAAAAAGAGACTAAAAGAAATATGGTGGATGTGTCTCCCTTCTACCTTTGTCCCCAGTAAGGCAATTCCTTTCTCTGGAAGCAACCAGTGTTTCCAGTTTATTGTGAATCTTTTTAGAGATAATCTATATCTGAATATCTATTTATATGCAATTGCTTGTATATTTCTCCCACTTGTTTAACTACATAATTGCTCAGCTGGCATCTATTATTAACAAGGCTAGCAAAACAGCTGAAAGCAAATCACTACTGCTTAAAAGATCAAAAAGTTGACCTATAACTAATGCACATGAAAATGTCCCAGTCAGTCTTGCTAAGCAAAACTAGCACCATTCTTATTTTTGAGCTGAGAAAAATGAGGCCTTGAGTCACTCAACCTTTCATTCACAGAAATCCAAGCCTCACCCTACACCAGGGAAGCTGTTTAGCCCAGGACTGGCCTGCACTCTACCCAGCCACTCGCCACCTTCCAAGTACATCTGACATGACATCCCCAAAAGGTCCAACATCTTCCAGCTCTTTCTGTCCTACTGCCACAGCCTTAGCCCACGTCATCTCTTTCCTGGACACCTTCAACTGTCTCAACAGATCTCCCTGTTCCCACTCTTGTCTACTACTGTCAATTCTCAACTTGGCTGCCTGGGTGATTCTTCTAAAACGTACACCTGATTACCAGTCTCCTTTGCGTAAAATGCTTCTGTGCTTTCACTGTCCTCTGGGACAGTTTTCAATGCTCAGCATGACTTATGTGCCCGGCAAGATCTGGCCCCGCCTTGCTTCTTGTCCCTCTTATCCTTGGTCCTCAGCCTCTAACATTCTTAAACTTTTTTCTTTCGCAAATGCTCTATGCCTTCTCTGACCTCACCCAAACTTCATATTTACAAGTCCCTCTCCTGGGAACTCTCTTCCCACAGTGCCTGGCACCTAGCTGGCTCCTCTTCTTGCTTTAGTGTGGCTTCTTCAGGCAGGACTTCCCTGACCCCACAGGCTAGGGGAGCTTCTCTTGCCACATGCTCTCCTGGGCCCTGTGTTTCCCTCTTCCTCTCCTTCACCCATATGCAATTAACCCTCTGTGTCCAGGAGGGTTAATTACACAGGGATCTCATGTCTGTGTAGGCATGGGTTCTCCAGCACCTAATCCTGGTTCCAGCACGTGGCAGGCATTCAAATATATCTGAGTGAGTGGAAGTGTAAATGAACTCGGGTTTCCATTTCTCTCCTGAGAAAGAGTTTTGGATTCCTTGTCCTCATAGGTCACTCGCCACTCTGGGGTCCTACAATCTCCAGTTGGGGTTGCAACACATATTTTTTCTTTTAGGGTTAAGGTGTATAAAGCAACCTGCACATCATATATATGGTGTGTACCCCTGCAGGGAACTGGGGGTAAAGTATAACCCTGGTGTGTTGGGTTGCTCTAAAAGGCATCTTAGTGCTTAGAACATGCCCAAGTTCAGGGCAAGGCTAGAGCCTGGCAGGCTGATGTCACTCTCAAAGAGACACCTAATGTCATAAGCTCTCTCCAACCAAAGGAGACAGGGACTCATGTCCCTGCACCCAGCAACCTCATCTCAGCAGAGGCCTCAGTGTACCCACTGCCCCTCCACAGAGAGGTGTGATCCTTCAAGGCCCACAGGACAATGGCCTACAGTCATATTTCAGTAAGCAATTCTGTTTGGAAGATGGCAAGGAGGGCTGTATTCACCAAAGTGTTGGAAAAGGCAATTTCCAGACTCCACCAAGAGCCAAGCTCTAGGATGGTGCTCCCTATATTCTCATTTAATCCTGACAAGAAACATAGAACAGGCATTACTAACTTTCATCATACCTGTGGGAAAACATGGGCTTGGAAAGGTCAAGTAGTGTGGCCAGAGTCACATGGCTGGGAAGTAGCAACCCCAAGACATAAATCCAGATATGCCTGGGTTCAAGCCCACGTTCATTCTAAGTGGTGTTGCAGTCCCCTACACACTGTCTCCCACCCTCCAAACCCCTCACTGCATGACAGGAGGCTGCCATGTGTGTGGGCAACTTCTCACCGCTCTGGCAGCCAAGGTAAATCAAAAGGTGAAGACAGATAGCGACCCTCACTTTTATCTCTTTACGTTCATTCTAAGTGGTGTTGCAGTCCCCTACACACTGTCTCCCACCCTCCAAACCCCTCACTGCATGACAGGAGGCTGCCATGCGTGTGGGCAACTTCTCACCACTCTGGCAGCCAAGGTAAATCAAAAGGTGAAGACAGATAGCGACCCTCACTTTTATCTCTTTATGAAAAGGCAGGGGGGAAACCTCTCAGAAGATGCTAGAAAGACCAACTCATTACTCTGCAAATTAGTAAATAAGCAATCAAACAAGTACCTTTATTTTCCCGTGTAAACTGTACCTCGGGGTAACTAAATAGTTCATAAGGGGAGGTTTCTCTTCATAGACTTATTCCAGCTAATAAGCGCAGGGAGAAATGACAGTGAGAATCTC